CTTGCATCAGGATCGCTCGCGCCACCTGCAAAGCAGGGACTGAAAGGACCAGAGAGCGAGCGGAGGGCGGCGCGCAGAGAAGAGCTGGGAGTGCATGATTCGACCGGAGTCGCCTCCGCGGCGGGCAGGGCGGAGGACGCTCGGAGCTGGGGCCGCACCGGCAGCTGCAGCCTCGCCCCCTCGGGGCGGCCCTAGCTGCCCGTGGGGTGCAGCCTCCTGCCCCAACCCGTCTTCTTCCCACGCGCCGACTTGGAGGCCGCGGGCGGCTGAGCCCTGGGCCGGCCTCGGCCTGCGTCCCGGCTCCCGCGCGCTCCTTCCTGCTCTTGCTTCCCGCCGCCTCCTCCTGGGTTTTCGTCTCGGGAGGGCGCCCCTCCAGCCTCGGCCGCCGCTCCCCTCCTCTCGGGCTTTGCCGGGTCCCTGACGGGGCGGGAGCTGAAGCCGCCTGCTCGACCCAGGGCCCTGCAGGCCGTGCGGGCCCGCTTGCGCCAGGGGTTTTCTGGCCGCCGGGTCCTCGGACTCGGACTCCTCGCTCTCCGCGCCCTCCGACGCCTCCTCCGAGCCTGTGTCCCAAACCCCCTCCGACGCCTCCTCGGACTACCGGTTCCCGCGGGCGGCCTGCAGCGCCAAGATCTTCCCCAGGTGGGCTTTGGAGAATATCAACCTCCTGCTCTCCCAGGCCTTTTCCTTTTTTCCCCTCCATCACCTCAGCCACGTCCTAGGTCTCCGGGAGCGCCGCGAGCTCCAGCAGCCCCCTCCCCCATCTTCCTCCTCATCCCGCGCCCCCCAGCTCCCCAGCGGGCCCCAGGGAGCCTTCTTGCCCTTGGAGGGGGTCTGGGGCTCAGCGCTGGTGGAGATGCCTTCCAGCAGGTTCCCTAACGTTTCAGGCATTCCTCAGGACCACGGAGGCCACCTGGCGGCCTGCCTCCTCCACCTTCATGCGATTCGGAGGTGTCCTCGGCCATGACGGACAGGACCTGGAGCGGGACCTCTTGTCTTCCTTGTCCTTCAGCCCAGCGACTCCATCACAGAAGCCATTTTCAACACCTCCCTGCGGGTTTTGGTGTCTGATGAAATCCCATGGGCCACGATGGCTAGAGCTTGGGGTCCTCCACATCCTTCTGGGTGACCTGGCCGTCTCAACTTTTAGGACCAACCTCCAGAAGAGTCAGTGACCTCGAGCATCTCATCAGGTGTGTCCCTCTCGACCACAGGAACCACCAGGTCGGGATGTCGCTCCTGGCTCCTCTGACGGACAGGCTCATCAAACCAAAGTGCTCTTTCTCTGTCACCTCCTTCTTGGTTTTGTCCAAAAGAGTCACATGGCCAAGAACTCTATGGGGACCCTCTGCCTCATTCATGTCTCTGCAGGCCTTCCTTGCAGCCCGTCTGGAGTGTTGTGTGCAGCACAGCACTCGGGGACTGTCCTTGTCATTTGTCCCCACCCAAGTCCTCTTCCACCTCTGCCATCCTGATGCAGGCTCTGATGGAAGAAGGGTCCTTCGAATCACTTTCTGCAGAGGCACATGGCTGCCCTCCTCGGCCCCTTTTTTGGCCTCTGGCTCTATTTCTGTGACCCTCAGCTTACTACCATGCTAGCCTTGCTGGCTGCACCAGGAAGGGGGACCTGGGTCTTCTAATTAGGAGGGGTGTCCCCGGGGGCTCTGGCCTCTGTAGCTTGTGGGGCCTTCCAACCAGCAGCTATCATTTCATCTGCCTCAGGGCACTCATGTCCTCGGAGCAATCCTTGTACAGAGTCCTCCAGACGCCATCCTTGTCCGGAATCTCCTTGGGAGTGGTGGTATGGTTAATGTCCTCCAGAAACTCTACCAGGGCGCCCTTGGCCTTCTTGTCACTCGCGGCTCTCATGTTCTGGGCAAGAAGACCAGCTGCAGGACAGCTTTGATAGCTGCCTGCTCCAGGTCCTCTGGGGGGCCCCCTGCACTAGTTGGGGCCTCCTGGATGATGAATCACAACTCTCCGTCCTGCTCCAGCCAAGTGTGACCCACGCAGACCCTCCCAATCCTGCTAGTTTCTTTGGTCAGCATCAGAGCTGGCAGCAGGCTTTGGCTCCCGAGGCCCTGGCACACACCCCCCCCCCCCCATTGGCTACCTCCGGTTCCATGGCAACCGCTTTTAGGCTGTTGCCAGCGTCTGAGCATTTGTTTTGAGAAACCCAGTGAAAATGGGAACGTGTGTTTTGTTGGTTCACTGGACGGGTCTCACACAGAGAAATCCATTCCACTCACTCGGGAACCAAGTCTGTGGGGACCCAGCCTTAATGTGGGGAGGTGATCAGTCCTCACTCGGGATAATCTGGGTCTGGAGTGAGTTTAATGGTGAGGGCCAGGAGGCGGGGTGTGGACTGAAGCTGAGGCTGGGGTGGGGATGCAAGTGGGAAGTCTGTGTCCCGGCAGGACTAAGGGCCCTGAAGGTGGCCAGGTGAGACGGAGGCTGAGTCGGGGTCTAGCAGCGGCCCGGGCCTGGGGCAGAGGTACGGTTGCTGTCCGGGTTTTACAGCCCTCTGGGCTGGGGTGGGTTTCTCTGTAGAGTGGAGCAGGTGGGGGGCGGGGCTCGGAGGTCAAGTCCCGCCCATGGGAGGGGCCTCAGGCCGGCCCAGATCATCTTATGATAGTGACTCTCAGGAGGCCGCTTAATGGTATCTCAATACCTGCCCCATTGACACCCCAAGGGCTCCCCAGTACGATCGAGACTGCACCCCATGACACCTCCGAACTGCCCCTTCAAACCCTAGGGCCTGCCGTCCCTCCTCCCCTCCCCACACTGCGGTGGTGTCCCAGGCCCCAGGCTCCAGGATGGGCCCCAGGTAATGACATTCATCCCCTCCTTCCGTCTGGGCAGAATATTAGAGATACAATCAGCGATTCCTTTCTCCCCAGCCCAGCTGGTGGCCAAACTGTAGGTGTGCGCAAGCGCGTTCTCCCACCTGCAAGCCCAGACGGAGAACTTTCCTGCCACTGGTTCTGCTTGGGGGCAGCAAGACCGCCTTTCCTGCCGCCCTGTTGGCATGAGACCTGGGTCCCCAGGAATGAGGGGCAAGAAGCCTCAGGAAGCTACGGCAAGTGAGAGTGCCGGGTCTGAGAAATCAGGAAGACCCTTTCCGAGTCCCCTCAAGTCCTGCCCCAGCCCTTGGAGCGGAGGTAATGTTTGGCAGGGCCCTGAGAGGCCCCTATGCCCCGTCCTCTTGGGACGCTTGGAGAATGCTGTAGGGAAGCTGATGACACAAAACACTGGGTTTCCAGTACCAAATATGTCCTGGGATGCGCTGAAAAGGGACTTCAGTGGCTCATGTCACTACAAAGTCCAGGCTGAATTAGCTTCACGTCTGGCTGGTTCCAGGGCCTCTACTTCCGTTTATTCAGCAGAAGACTCATGGCCAGCTCCCATTGGATCGGCTGGGTCACGTGCCTGCCTCTGCACCAATCACAGTGACTGGAGAGGGACTGAGAGCTTTGATTGGCCAGGTTTCAGTGAATGACGGTTCGTGATCCCCACAGGAACCACCTGGATCACTCCAGGTGAGGGAGCGGATGCCACAAAGAGAAATGGACATGAATCACTTAGGAGATGGGGGTTGGAGGTGTTAGGGCGATGTGTGTGGACACTAGGCTGGAAAGCAGGAGATTCTGTCCCAGTGGGATTAGGGGCAGTAATGAGACTCAGTACCTGGATTGGGGAGGGCCTGAAAGGGAGTACGGGATCTTTTCTCTGGCTGTGGGTATTTGTTGGAGAATCTCTGGAGTCCTGATGGGGAGAAGAGCATTCACCCATTTAGCTGCTCACTGGTCATTCCCGCCTGGAGACTTCATTCATTCATTCAGTGTTCCTCTAGTCTCTTCTAGGACCCACCTGTACAGGTCACTGGGAACAGCAATGATTAAGATGGGCTCTGTCTCCTGGAGCTCAGAGCCTCCGTGATCACATACGGAAGTGAGTGCTAGAAACGAAAAGGCTGGATCCTCAGGGGAGGAGGGTCGAAATAGCTGGAGCTGATCCTGGATCGGGACCCACTTCCCAAAATAGGTGACATTGACCTGAGTCTGAAGGGAGGAGGTGACTCTCTGTGAAGTAGGGGCAGGGAAACAGTGCTTTTGAAGGGTTTGGTGTACAAAAACCTCGGAGGCAGCATGAGAACAGGAGACCAGAAGAGCTGATGGAGTGAAGTGTGGCTGAGTGGGGAAAGCTGCAAGGCCAAGTCCACGAGGAATTGTGAGCTGATTATGCCAGGGATGTGACCAAGGAGCTGTTGGGTCACCAGGACCAGAGCTGGAAGTTTCTCTACAGTTTAGGCGCTGTGTGAAGCTGGGAGACTTAAACAACATCTTTGAGCCGCACTTTCCTCCTTTGTGGGATACTTTGAGCTAATGTGTTGAGTTAGGCACGTATAGGGCTTCCTGGGGTGCAGTAGGGCTTTACGTGGCGGATGTTGGTATTAATCCTCCTCCTCCTCAGTACTGTCCTAAATGCCTTTTTGTCTGGAGAGATGAGACGATGCTTTAGGGATTTGCTGCGTCAGAGCGCCCTCTGGTGGGCATAGGGAGACATGGCTCACAGAAGAAAGAAGGACCAAAGGTTTCTATCTTAAAGATCTTTCTTCCCTCTCTCCCTCCCTCCTTCCGATCTCCCTGTCTTCTTTCCTTCCTTTCACATACATTCCCCCAGGACCTTAACTGGAGACCCAGCGGGGTTCCTGGTTTAAGGCAGGCGTTCTCCCCACCCCCACCTCAGCTTGGAGTCGTCCCCGGTCTGGGAGTCTCAGGGCGCGCGGGGTGGGCGCGGGGATGCTGGGTGGGACTCCCTGACACGCGCCTACGGACCTGACCGAACCTCCAGCCCAGTGTCCCCACACACAGCTCCGGTTGGTGGTGGCGCCTCTTCAGCCCACGGGGTCCGAGCTCCCTGCGCCCCAGGGCAGGTCGGGTTGAACCTGGTGAGCCCGAAGGATAACCTAGTGGGGCCCTCGGGGAGGGCTCTGTGCGTCCATGGGCAGGCGCGACCCTCCCAACTCCTACGGGGTGGAGGGGTTGAAAGTGCGCGAGGGGCGGGGGTCGCTGGGTCAGGGGACCCTGCCTGGAGGTCTCCTTATGGATTTGATTTTGTTCACGTGCTTATAGTTGCGGATGTGGGTGTTCCTTTTGGGGGCTGAGGCGTATGTAGTTTATCTGTGTGTTTCACTTGTGAGGACTGGGTGTGTCTCTCCGTGGGTGTAGGTGGGGCGAGTCTCGGGGTGTTTGCACATGGTGTGTGTGTGAGCGCGCGCGTGTGTGGGTATCTATGTAGGCTCAGTCCAAGTGCGTATCAGTGTTAGTTTGTGTGACACAGGTGTGAGTGTGTGAGCCAGTGTGTAAGTGTTTTGTGAGTGTGTGATCGTGTGATTGTGGCACAGGCTGACCTGAGCCTGGTGTCACACCTTGAATCGAACAAACCTCCAACACCAGCCCTTTCAGTCTGGAGGGAGGGGCGGGGAGATAGATCTAATGTCCGAACCTGAAGTCGCAAGTATCCGGCCTGGAACGCCCTCCCTCAACAGTCTCCCCACCTCTCAGGGATGTTCCAGGTGGTAGAACCGCGGAGAGGGAATAGTGGAGGCTCTGGAAGCAGTAGGTGAAGGTCTGACGGTGCCACGTGAGCCGGTTGGAGTGTCTGCAGGAGAGGGCTGTAGCTCCCGCATTGACCACCAGGCGGCGCTGCAGGACTGCTACTTGACGCACCTGCGACGGAGCCTTCCCACAGCTCAAGAGCGTGAGCGAAATAATGTGCTCAAATAGATTCAGCTCCGATGTAGGGGACTGGGTGGGGCTCAACACTAACAGCAAGAACGATGTTATTTATAGATGTCAATACATGCGCGCTGATTATTTAAACGCAAGTGTAGGCGCTTTATTGTACACATTTTACAGATGGGAAAACAGATTCAGAGAAGGTACATGACTTGCTCAGAGTCACCCAGAGCTGGAATGTGAACCCAGGCGGTCTGGTTTGACTCAAGTCAGGTCTGTGTGACTCCAGAGTCCCTGGCTGGACCCGTTCCTTGCTGTGTCCCCAAACTCCGGAGGGAGAGGAGAGGGGAAAACTGGACGCGGAGGAGTGAGGGCTGGGGAAGTGGCCAGGATGAACTGGTGCAGAATGTTAGGGACCCGAGGTGCTAGAATGGGGACTCGGTATTGGGACTCGCAGTGGTCTTTGCATAAGCTGCCCCCATTGCGATCACGGTAAGGTGTGGGTGATCTGGAAGCGACTGGCTGCTGATTCATAACCTCAGTAAGACTTGCTGAGGGCTGCTGGCGGGAGGAGGGGGTTGCTGGGCCACAACCTCTCCTATCTTCCTGATGATGGCAAGAGAACGTGATCCCCATTTTCAGGGACATGAATGGGGGCATGGAGAAGTTAGTTACCAGCCCAAAGTAGTAAGGATGGGACATGTGCGTGCTGGCTACTTTTTGCTGCATAACCAACCTCCCCAGGGTTTCCCTGGTCGTTCAGGGGGTAAAGAATCTGCCTGCAATGTGCGAGGCCAGGTTCAATCCCTGGGTTAGGAAGATCCCTAGAAAAAGGGAATGGCAACCCACTCCAGTTTTCTTGCCTGGAGAATCCCTTGGACAGAGAAACCTGGCAGGCTACAGTCCCTGGTGTCACGAAGAGTTGGACATGACTGAGCCACTACGCACACTCACATACACAAACCACACTAAATTCGGTGTCATAAAATGCAAACTGTTTCGTTATGTTCGTGGAGTCTGTAGGTCGGCATGATGAAAGCACCCTGGGGGTGGAGTTTTTCAGTTTTGCAACGTCTGGTGCCTCAGCTGGGGTGGCTGTAATGACTAAGGTCTGGAATCAGCCAGAAGCTTCATCAGCCATGTCTGGTACCCTATCTGGGATGAGCTGAAGACTGCGCTTAGCTGGAGATATTGACTTGAACACATACATTGGTCTCTTTACGTGAGTTGGGCTTCCTCACAGCATGGCGTTTATGCTTCAAGCAGGAATGTCCTGGGAAGGAGGTTTCAAGAGCAAATATTCCAAGAGAACTGGGCAAAAGCCTTATATTTGGCCTTGGGAGACACAGCATCATTTTTGCCGTACCTGTTGAGGCAGTCACAAGCTTGTCCAGGGTCAGATTCAAGAAAAGGGAATGTGAACAACCCCACTCCTAGAGGAGGATCAAAGAACTTGTTACCTTGCTTTAAAACTGTCATCAGTGTCTCTTCTTGGAGGAGTGGACAGGAAAAAGGTAAAATGTGATGAATGACCATCTTGCAGCCCTGCTCAGCAGGTAAAATTACAGATAAGATACATAACTGGTATTGCTCTAAGACACTTTACCAACAGTGATTAGAAAGTGGGTAACATTAGGGAGTCTTGGATTGACCTGTAGACACTGCTATATTTAAATTGGATAACTGGGACTTCCCTGGTGGCCCAATGGTTAAGACCCAGAGCTTCCATTGCAGGGGGTGCAGGTTCAATTTCCGGTCTGGGAACTAAGATTCCACATGCCACGTAGCATGGCAAAAATAAAATAAAATAGATAACCACTACTGTATAACACAGGGAACTCTGCTCAATATTACGTAACAACCTAAATGGGAAAAGAATTTGAAAAAGAATATATATGAATCACTTTGCTGTACATCTGAAACTATCACATTGTTAGTCAACCATACTCCAGAATAAAATTAAAAATTGAAAGAATGAGAAACAAATGGAGATGGATACCATACAAGGAATCATGCAAGTACATCATAAACGCCCCCAACCAGCAATGCACAGTTTGCAAGAACACATGGAAATAAAGGGACAGACATGAAAATGTACAAAACAAAGTTGTCCAGGGTGATGGAGGAATGGGAGAAGGGAGTGAGGATCAAATGTCATTTTAAAGACACGGGGGCAGGTGGAGTTGACAGTTCCTTGGATCTAGATGTCCTGAAAGGCATACCACCAGCCACTGAGACTCAGACACAAGGCAGTGAAATGAATTTTGCTTTGAGGATCTGCTGTTGTGGTTTCCCTAGTAACCACTGGAGGGAGAGATTGAAGAAAGAGCAGCAGAAAGGCTACAGAGTGGGGACAGACAAGCAGTGAACTTCATTCCCATGAATCATTTATAACCTGCAAGAGAAACACCGCCAATCACCTTTTTCTTATCTGAGGGCCCTAGGGTGCCTTTTGTTATAATCTCCAACTCAGTGGTTCTGGAATTGCTTGGTCTCAAGACGTCTTACATTATTAAAAAATTCAAGGACCCCAAAGAGCTTTTGTTCCTGTGGGTTCAATCTGTCGATATTTACCATTGGAAGAATGTCAACTGAGCAAGAAGTATTTACTTATGAACTTGTTTAAAAATAGCACTAGCAAACATATGTTACGTGTTCACCCAAATAACATATGTATAGCTGTATTTTCCAAAACAAAAACAAATTGAGAAGAGTGGCATTGTTTTATCTTTGGGGAAATCTCTTTACTGTCTGACTCAACAGAAACTGGTTTCTCATACCTGCTTCTGCATTTGTTCAGCTGCAATATCTCATGTGCTGTTGCCTCTGAAAAATTCCACTGAACACTCGTGAGAGAATATGAGTGAAAAAGACAGATAATGTTTGAGCAGTATTATGCAAATGGTGTTGGTCTCATGGACCCCCGAAAGGTCCTTGCAGAATCCTTAGGGGTCTCAGGACCACAATTTGAGACCCTCTGCTCCAACAGTGCTGCTAATGTTGTTCAGCGGCTGACTTGTACCTGACTCTTTGAGACCCCAGGGACTGCAGCACGCCAGCCTTCCCTGTCCTCCCATCTCCCGGAGTTTGCTCAAACTCATGTCCATTGAGTTGGTGATGCTATCTAACCATCTCATCCTCTGCATCAACTAGTAGTCCTTCTTAACAAGCAGGCTCAGTGTTTGTCCTCAAACACAGGGAGTGGGAAGAATTTTGCAGAACATTTGATAAACTCTCTCTCTCTCTTTTTTCTTTATTTCCAGCTTGGAGGCAGTGGCTAGGCCAGTCATGGGTCCCATCTCTGTGCAACAGAGCACCCTAATTCCAGGACAGATATCCAGAGAGGGGCTAGGCAGGACATTGGGGTTCCCAGTGCCCTGCCTGGCTGGCCCTTGCTCTCTAATTTTCTACTCGGCTTCTGGGACCATGTTCCCGCTCAGCTCTGGCTCACTTTGATCAGGAGAGAAATGAGGGAGAATTCCATCTGCGGAACAGTGCGGCCAGAAAATAGAACAAAGATCCATTGCACCTGTCTTTCGTGAATAAATGTGGGCTTTTATTCTTAACGAAGAGAAATTGAAATTATGCAAGAAGGATGGTGGGGGCCCTAGAATAGAAGCTGCCATAGTCAGTGGTGATGAAAACCACTTTTAAAACGATGCTGTATGTTTGTGTGTTACATGGAGTTAGGTTCTGAGCTGAGATCACTGTGAATTGATTTTTTTTTTTAATAAGTGAGAATGCCTGGTGGGATCCCCAAAAGTAGGGGAAGATGTGGATCAGTTCAAAGTTCATGACTATTCCTGGCAGCCTACACACAGGCTTCCCAGATGGGGCACTAAACACTTCAGGTGCCCAGATCACGTTTGCAAACTGCCCTCCGGAGGTCAAACTGCTGTTAATAGAAACTCCTGAAATATACTTCAGGGACTTGCCTCTGAATCTTAATTTCTATTTCTTCACGCCTACCACCACCACCTGACAACCATTGGTTTGTTTTCTGTATCTATAACTGTTTCTGTTTTGTTATGTTTGTTCATTTGTTTGTTTGTTTTTAGATTCCACATATAAGCAAAATAATATAGTATTTGTTTTCCTCTGACTTATTTTGCTCAGCACAATACCATCTAGGTCCATCAGTGTTATACCAAATGCAAGATTTTTTTACTTTTTAAAATGGATCTTTAAATAATAAATTCCATTATATTTAGTGGAATATTACTCAACCATATATATATGTATATGTATATATATATATAAAATCTTCTTTATATATAAATACATGTGTAAATACTATATATAATATACAATAAAGATGAAGGAATCTTGTTTATCCATTTTATCCATTCATCTGTTAATGGACACTTAAGTTGCTCCCACATTTGGCTGTTGTAAATAAAGAATAAGGTAAATAAATGAAAATCTATTCCTAAAATTCATTTCCCCTGGTTTTTATGTATTGAAGGTAGCTGTTAGCAAACTTACATATTACACATGTGGCTTGCCTTGGGGGCTCGCATTATATTTCTTTCAGACCACTGCTCTAGAGAGAAGAGTGACATCCATTTGGTGGAAAGGAAAGAAAAAGGGAGAAGCAGGGAAAATGAAAGCTGGGGGGTAGGTAGGAGAGTGAGTAAGCAGTTTGGTTTGCCCTAGAACCAGTTGCCATGGTAACCTTGCAATAAACTCTCTTCCTACATTAAAAACAACAAAAACAAAGTGTTTGGTTTCTTTTTTAAAATTTTCCTTCTTTATTTATATATTTATTTGACAATTAAATGTATATATTTATATTAAATGATTGTATAAAGGGTCAAGAAAGAATGAATTCCAACTGCCATCTTTCAGGGAGCATCAGCTCTGGGCCAACCTCTGTTCCAAGGGCTTTTGGGGATCATCCCGTTTAATCCCCATAAGGATCCTATGAAAGTGAAAAGTGAAAGTGTTAGTCGCTCAGTCGCGTCTGACTCTTTGCCACCCTATGGAGTGTAGCCCACCAGGTTCCTCTGTCCATGGGATTTCCCAGGCAAGAATACTGGAATGGGTTGCCATTCCATTCTCCTGGGGGTCTTTCCAACCCAGGGATCAAACCCGGCTCTCCCATGTTGCAGGCAGATTCTTAAACATCTGAGCCACCAGAGAAGCCCAAGGATCCTATGAGTAGAGTTAATGGTTATGGCCATTTCACAGAGGAGCAAACTGAGGTGTAGAGAAGCCCAGGAAGCTTGCCAGAGTCATAGCGAGGGCAGCAGCAGAAGCCCAATGGCTGGGCCACAGCGCGTAATTTATGTAGAGTTGGGGTGAGGGTTAGCAAGGATGATGAAGGGGAAGTGTGTTCGGGGTAGCTCTGACATTCACCCATCCCAGCCTGTGGACCAAGTCAGGATCAAGGTCTTTTCCGGAAGTGATGTCTAATCTCACTGCTGATTACACCCACACACGAACCATATGCAAAAACACACAGTTAATAGTAGGTGTACTGGCTACAGAAACATCCGTAAGAGCGAGGCTTCACTGAGTGAGGCCAGATCCCATCAGTGAGGGTTGTGGACCCTAAAGGGTGCCAGCACCTCGCAGCTGAGGCCTGTGTATCCTTACTGAAGCCGATTCCCACCGAGTGAGGCCCGAAAACTCTGAGTGTGGCTTGCACTCCAAGAGTGAGTCCTCGTTCCACCGTGGGCGGCCAGAGGCCCTTGATCTAGGTCTCTGCAGCCTGAACGCCACCTGTACACGGTGGAGGGCTAGAAGCGTCTACCTCTGAAGGAGATCGCGGGTCTCCCTAACTGCTGTCTCGCCTCCTGTGAATATGGCCTTTGGGGGGGGCTCATCACTGATGGTGATCCCAACCCCCAGAGTCTTCCTTTGCTTGGGCTGGTCTAGAGCTGGATCCCTTCAGACCCCAGCAACTGCGACCCAGGCAGCAGCCCTGGCGTTGCCATGGTGACGCGGCCCAGCTGGGAGCAGGGGCGAGCCTGTGTGCGCAGGCGCAGGGCCGAGCAGCCGCCTCCCCGCAGAACTGCAGGCTGAGTGAAGGGCGCACGGCCAGACGTGGCCGCGGCTGGGCGAAGGGGACGCGCCTCTCCCAGCCGCTCTAGGTGCCAACCGCGCCGCCCTCCCCAGCACCTGGCCCGGGCGCCTCCGTGTCACCCCGCCTCGGTCAGGCACAAAAGGCGGAGCGGAGGGGCCGGTGGCACCCCTGGATTTGCCACGCAAATTCCCTGTGGGTGCTAGGACCCCCATGAGGAGAGAGCCTCGGGAAGGGCCGCCGGGTCAGCCGCCCGGGAGCAGCAGGAGCCCGAACCTGGCCATGTTCACCTGAATCTGAACTCCAGGCCCCGCGGCGCTGTTCCAGGGTGGCATTTGCCCAGGGCCCCGCAGCCCACGTGAGCCTCGGGCTCCCTCCTGCCCCGCGATCAGCGCCAGAGGCGGCGCCGTGGCCACGGGCCCTCCGGGGGGACTGGTGCAGGGGGCTGGCCCTGGACGTGCACGGGGCCTCCCAGAGAACGTGGAGCCGGCGGCCATCCAAGCCGTCCTGCAGCCTGTCTTCCTGCCCCAGGGCACGTTCGGGCTGAGGAGCGCCAGGGCCATGAGGGTCGAGAAGGCCAAGGCCACCTTGATGGAGTTTGTGGAGAACATGAATCATGGCGCCATCCCCAGGCAGATCCGGGCAGGGACGGCGTCTGGAGGGTTCTGTGCAAGGAAAGCGCGTCGGACACGAGGGTCCTGAGGCAGATGAGACGGTCGCTGCTACATGAACTTCTCCCCTCCCCGCGATGCGGCAGTGGCCAGGGTCTCCGGGCCACCCCTCCCGCTTTGGAGACCCAGGTCTGCGGATCGGAGCTGGAGGTCAGGGAAGCTGACCTCGCTCCTGGTGCAGCCAAAGATGCTAGAACATCCGGTCATCGAGGTCGCGAAACGGAACCAGAGGCAGCAGATGGACCCAGAAGGGCAAGAAGAGGGACTGTGGAGGGCGGCCATCCACAGCGGGAAAGCGGGAGTCCGAAGACTCTTCTGAGGAGAGTGTGGGGCTCCTGATCCAGGAGAGGGACCCGGAGGACCTAAGCGGTGATGAGGGTCATAGCATGCTGCAGGCCGCCGAGGAGGAGTTACTTAGGTAGTGGGCCCTCCAGAGCCAAGGAGATGACGGGCAAGGTCCTCCGTGAGTTCTTGGCCCTGGCAACGGTGACGGACAAAGCCAAGAAGAGGAAAGATTTCCCCTCACCCCCACTCCCCACCCCACGCCCAGGGAGGGGTCGGCTGATCGGCCATACTGGCAGTGGGAGACGAGTCGGATGAGGAGACCACGGACAAGGATGCCTCCCAAAGCGAGTCTCAGGAAAACGGGGATCAAGAAAAAGAGAGGGTGGACAATCCTGAGTTTGTGGCCATTGTGGCTTACACAGACCCCTCTGCCCAGGACGAGGTGTTGAAAATGGCTTCTGTGATGGAGTCGCTGGGCTGAAGGACAAGGAAGACAAGAGACCCTGCTCGAGGTCTTGTCTGTCATGGCCGAGGACACCTCCGAACCGCGTGAAGGTGCAGGAGGCAGGCCGCCAGGTGGCCACCGAGGTCTTGAGGAAGGCCAACGACAGCACCTGCTGGGATGACTGCGTCTCCACCAGGCCTGAGCCCCAGACCCCCTCCAAGGGCAAGAAGGCTCCCCGGGGCCCCCTGGGGAGCTGGGGGGGGGATGAGGAGGAAGATGGGGGAGGGGGCTGCTGGAGCTCGAGGCGCTCCCGGAGACCTAGGACGTGGCTGAGGTGATGGAGGGGGAAAAGGAAAAGGCCTGGGAGGGCGGGAGGTTGATATTCTCCAAAGGCCACCTGGGGGAGGTCTTGGCGCTGCAGGCCGCCCGCGGGAACCGGTAGTCGGAGGAGGCGTCGGAGGGGGTTTGGGACACAGGCTCGGAGGAGGCGTCGGAGGGGGTTTAAGACACAGGCTCGGAGGAGGCGTCGGAGGGGGTTTGGGACACAGGCTCGGAGGAGGCGTCGGAGGGGGTTTGGGACACAGGCTCGGAGGAGGCGTCGGAGGGCGCGGAGAGCGAGGAGTCCGAGTCCGAGGACCCGGCGGCCAGGAAGCCCCTGGCGCAAGCGGGCCCGCACGGCCTGCAGGGCCCTGGGTCGAGCAGGCGGCTTCAGCTCCCGCCCCGTCAGGGACCCGGCAAAGCCCGAGAGGAGGGGAGCGGCGGCCGAGGCTGGAGGGGCGCCCTCCCGAGACGAAAACCCAGGAGGAAGCGGCGGGAAGCAAGAGCAGGAAGGAGCGCGCGGGAGCCGGGACGCAGGCCGAGGCCGGCCCAGGGCTCAGCCGCCCGCGGCCTCCAAGTCGGCGCGTGGGAAGAAGACGGGTTGGGGCAGGAGGCTGCACCCCATGTGCAGCTAGGGCCGCCCCGAGGGGGCGAGGCTGCAGCTGCCGGTGCGGCCCCAGCTCCGAGCGTCCTCCGCCCTGCCCGCCGCGGAGGCGACTCCGGTCGAATCATGCACTCCCAGCTCTTCTCTGCGCGCCGCCCTCCGCTCGCTCTCTGGTCCTTTCAGTCCCTGCTTTGCAGGTGGCGCGAGCGATCCTGATGCAAGAAGAATGTAAGGTGTAATGAGCGCCCGCGGAGGCAGCAGCCCCAGGTGACGGGACGGTCTCAGGGCCCACCCAGGCGGCTTGGCTTTGGGTCTCCCGGCTTAGCACAGGGGCGAGTGTGTCCGTGGACACACCGGGCACCGGGGGAGGCCAGCAGTGCCGGGGCATTCTTTCTTGTTCTCCGTGGAGCCCCGATCCCTTCCAGACCCATGCTTCTGGCCAGCGTCTGTGAGCCTCTGTTCCTCATCCCAATCTGATGGGGGCTGGCCTGTGTGATGGAGGTTCCAACGAACAAGGAGAGTGTCAGGGTGCAGCTGAGCCAGGAGGCTGAACCTCCTGCTGGGGGAGGAGAGGATTCCAGGAAGAGAAGCCTGAGAGGCAGGGGGGTGTGCTCCTGGAGGAGTGGAGAAAAGGTGAGGGAGGGGAAGGGAGGGGTGGCGGGCGACCATGGGACCAGGAGTAGGGGAGGAGAAGAAGGAGGAGAGGGAAAGACCCTGCCCAACTGAAGTGCAGCTGGTACAAACGCACCAGTTTCTCAGCGCCAAGGCCTCCTGCTGGTGTCCACAGGCTGAATCTGTCACTCGATCTGCAGTGTTTTCAAACAATGGGACTTCTTTGCCACACTTTCAATTTGGGACAATTCACATACGGTGTGTTGGCTTTTCTCTGCAGTACCAAGCAGTACAACTCCCACAGGTCTGTGGCTCCCCCTGGATGTCCCACCAGCTCTCCCCTACCCACCTCCCGTGGGGTGACAGTCCCCTGGGCGTTGGAGGGAAGGGGTGAGGCGGGAGGATGCCCGGTGGAAGCGCACTCAGGAGGCAGAACATCCTGGGCAAAAGCCCCAAGCCACTGTGGAGATTGGGGTTTATTCATGTGTAACCCTTGAGGCCTCGGGTGCCAGGATTCCCTGCTGGGCATAGGGGAGACCATGTCTCCAAACAGGCCACCTGCCTTCACAGGGTTGGTAGTCTATTACATTCCACGTGACTGGAGTTGATTGTGAACTCTGCGAGGTCCCTGGAGTCGGAGCGTGCAGACATGCCGGGAGCGTGTCCCCTTCCCGGTCCTGGGACCCCTAGGAGGAAGCTGTCCTGCCCCTCGGTTGGCTCAAACGGAGAGAGGGACGTCCTGAGATTCTTGGGAATAACTTCTGGACCTGGAACGGCCCAGAGGGAGAAGCCAGAAAGCGATTAAGCCTTTCCCACTGTTAAGTTCCCTAAGACCCGGAGCCCACGAAGCCCCGCCCCACACAGCACGCTCCGCCCCCCTGAGAACTAGGCCTGCGAAGGAAGCGTCAACCTAGGCGAGCGCGGCCGTGGTCTATTCATCCACTAGGAGGCGCTCTAAGACCAATGGCTTAAATCATGCGCACAGTGAGCCTTCTTGGGGTCCACCGCCTTGAAGTTCCTCCTGTTTTCTCAACGCCAGGCAGCCCAAAACCGACTTTCCAGTAAAGCTGCAAAGTAAGGTCCTGAGACAAACTGCATCCACATCTCCTGGGAACTTCTTAGCAATGCATATTCTCAGGCCCACCCCAGACCTACAGTCAGTTCAGTCGCTCAGTCGGGTCTGACTCTCTGCGACCCCATGAATCGCATGCCAGGCCTCCCTGTCCATCACCAACTCCCGGAGTTTACTCAAACTCATGTCCATCGAGTCAGTGATGCCATCCAGCCATCTCATCCTCTGTCGTCCCCTTCTCCTGCCTCCAATCCCTCCCAGCATCAGGGTCTTTTCCAATGAGTCAACTCTTCTCATGAGGTGGCCAAAGTATTGGAGTTTCAGCTTCAGCATCAGTCCTTCCAATGAACACCCAGGACTGATCTCCTTTAGGATGGACTGGTTGGATCTCCTTGCAGTCCAAGGGACTCTCAAGAGTCTTCTCCAACACCACAGTTCAAAAGCATCAATTTTTCGGCACTCAGCTTTCTTCACAGTCCAACTCTCACATTCATACATGACCACTGGAAAAACCCTTGGTCTTGCTTAGACGGACCTTTGTTGGCTAAGTAATGTCTCTGCTTTTTAATATGGTATCTAGGTTGGTCATAACTTTCCTTCCAAGGAGTAAGCGTCTTTTAATTTCATGGCTGCAATCACCATCCCCAGACCTACAGACCTCCTGAATTATGTCTAAGAAGGCCAGGCCAGGACTGCAGCCTATCAGGAGGACCCAGCTGGGCTTTAAAACCTACCTCCAAGAATTTCTCTTTATCCCGCCTCTATCGAGGCTGGGGCATGGTTATTTGCTGTCTGTTTTCCCCAGGGTTAGGATGGGTTAGGGGACACAAGACAATACAGAGAGAAGTCCCCCAGCTCCCAGGGTGTGTAGCAACCCGATTATAAGCTCACTATAGCAACTTGATACACTGCTCACTACCACACCACAATTCACTTCTTTGGCCCGTTCCTATTGCAATGATTTTTCTCGAATATATCCAGTGACCAAGCTGCCCCAGATTCTTGGGCCTCACAGCCTGCTCTAGCAATTCACAGCTCTTGATGTGAAGAGCCCCTGAATCCGCACTTTGGACATGTTTCCCAAATTATTCTTCTGTACGCGGTAACCAAGAAGGGATGAAGCCTGTGAACTGCAGGACCTGGACCCACCAAGCCTGCAGAACCCAGGGGTGTAGGCATGGCAGGAAAAGTGACTTAAACACGGGTCAGCATCACGGAGGGTGGGAGTAAAGGGGACACAAGGCTGTGACAAAATCACCCCGGAGCATTTTTCAGTTGCCAAGCCAGAGCCAAGAAATAAGTTGGTAAATATTTTTATTTGCATGTTGACCTGCGCCCTCTTTTCCAGTTCCAGGAGGCAGTGAGTGAAAGTGTGCGAAAGGGGGAAGAAAAGGGGGAAGAGGAAGGGATTTCTCCTTTGCTTCGCTCCCTTTTCCAGCTGAGCACCTCGAGTTGCATTTGAGGAAGTTAAAATCATGGGGGATGCAACTCCATTGTATGGGTTTCTTTCGTTACATTCCTTGGATTACTATAAAGAGTCTATATTAAAAAAAAAAAAAATCAATGCGTAGGGAATTCCCCGGCAGTCCAGTGGTTAGGACGCAGCGCTTTCACCACTGGGGAGACCTGGGTTCAATCCCTGGTCAGGAAACTAAGATCCCACAAGCCATGTGGGAAAAAAGAAAAAGAAAGATAGGGGAAAAAAATCAATGCATAGAAAATACAATTTTAATAAAAAGGGGCATTCGGTAGAGACGTGAGAGGCACTGCCGGGGCCTCACTCCACCTCCGTTTTCAGGCGTGGAGAGTCAGAGACGGCCGTGAGTGACCCGCACTGTGGCGGGGCTGGGGTCCTCCGTGGCCCCCCTGCCCTCGCCTCACAGCTGATCCTCTTGCTCTTCATGCTCTGCCTCTGCTCTGGCCTCGGCCCGCAGGACCCTGAGGCTCCTGGCCTCGCCTGCTCTGGGGACTCTCTTGGGTAGCGTGGGCAACCGGGGAGTGTGCCAGAAGGCTCTCTGGCGCTTCCGAAACCATGAAAAACGTCCAGGGGTCTGGAACCTCACTGTCTTGACCGGTTTCCGGGTTCGAGTTCCTGCGGTGGCCCCTGTGGCCCTTCCGGCAGCTGAGGATTCAGCCTCCTGGACAGCCGGGGTCTCAGCCCTCTGATTACAGGCAGCTTCTGCCCTCTGGACTGATCCAGCTTCTACCCCATCAGGTCTGGCCTCTGCTCCCTGGACAACCGGGACCTCTGCCCTCGGATCCTCCGCAGCTTCCGCCCTCCGGTCAGCCGGGGCCTCTGCCCTCTGATTGTCCAGGGCCTCTACCCCTCGGACAGGTATGGCCTCTGCTCCCGGGACAGCCAGGGCATCTGCTCTCTGATTATCCACAGCCTCTGCCTCCTGGACAGCTATGGGCCCTGCTCTCTGATTATCTACTGCCTCCCCCCTCTGATTACCTACAGCCTCCACCCTCTGATTATCTATAGCCTCCACCCTCTGATTATCTATGTCTTCCCCCCTCTGATTATTTACAGCCTCCACCCTCTGATTATCTATGTCTTCCCCCCTCTGATTATTTACAGCCTCCACCCTCTGCTCATCTGCAGCCTCTCCCCCCTGAGCTCTGGATGCTGTTTCCTCTCTCCTGCGACGTCTGAAAGAAGCCCAGTTGATCTGGGGCCTCCATCGCCTTGCGGGGGTCTCAGGCACCCGCCCATCTCGTGCATTTCCCACGTTACACCCCAGGCTGGCGCTGCCTGGCACCGATGCGCTGTCCCTCTCCACCCTGGTAGAGGCCTGCCTGGCCTCGCCCACCCCGGGGCTGGACTTCGGTGCCCAGCCCTTCACCCTCCGCTTCAGCTTCCCCCAGGACACCTGGCTGACACACTCCCGCCACCTGTCCGCTTTGGACTGCTGGGGTCCCGGGCTGTCGTCAAACATGGGCACGGGCAGGTTCACCCGTCGGCGGGGAGGCGGCGCGCTGGCTTTCTTCTCCCCTCGCCGGAGGAAGGCCTCCACCAGTTCCTCATCATCCTCGCTCTCCAGGTCGCTCCCGAGGAACTTGCTGCCCAGGTAACTGACGGGCATTTTGCGCACCTTCCTGCCACTGCCGGCGCCTTTGCGGCCCTTGTCAGCCTTGTTCCTGGAAGTCTCGAAGTCGCTGAACTCGCTGTCACTGGCGTTACTGCTGTCATAAGTGCCCACGACCAGCCGCGGGGGTGGGGTCACCATCTGCTGGACTCTCCTCCTCACTCGGGGCTCCTTAGGCTTTCTGGGGGGCTGGGGTGGATGCGGGGTGCTCTTCTCGATGATGCGGGCCACGTCCTCCAGGGTGCGGCCTTCTTCTTC